GCTATTATTAACGAAGATGTGACTAAGTGCCCTTCTGGCCATCATCGTTATTTTTTCTCTGTCGGCATTCTCTTTCCTTCCATTTGTTGTGCTGCACGTTGAGATCCGGCTATTATTACTGAAGATGTGACTTAATGCCCTTCTGGCCACCATCTCTGTTTTTACTTTGTCGATACATTCTGCATTTCCTCCCCTTTCATTTGATGTGCTGTACGTTGAGATCCGAATATTATTAACGAAGATATGACTTAGTGCCCTTCTGGCCGCCATATTTGTTTTATCTCTGTCGATTAATTCTGCATTCCTTTCTCTTCCATTTAACGTGCTGTACGTGACGATCCGATTATTATTAACGGATATGTGGCTTAGCACCCTTTTGGTATATCACAACTTTCATTTCTTCTCTATTTCACACTGATGTAATCATCTTCTCTCTCATACAGAAATTGCATCTTCTCATACGCCACACCTACATTGAGTTGGGTGTTCCACAAGGTACCTATCGGAGGCCTGAAAATGACCAGAGATAATGACGACGAAACAATAACGAATAAACATACGCAAAACGATTGAAACGCATGTAAAACAACATCCTGTAAATCTGATGATTTTCTCTACAAGCAACTGCCATGTTTTTTCTTTAATGTAATTGCCAAATATTTCGCTTCCCCCATTGCCTCATTCTCTAACGTCAACTCCACAACACGTAACATGTGGGATCGCACGTTGAATCGTTTAACTGTCATGTTTTGTTCTCGAATGATGCATTTTGAGACATCCTGTTCACATTGAAGGATCACACGTTGAAACGTTAGAGCCTCGTTGAATTTCCATATTGTTTTTTCTTAAATGTTGTATTTTGACGCACCCTGTATACTCCGCTCAATGCCTGTTACATTGCCGCCATGTTTTTTCAATAATGTTATTTGAGACACCCCGTACACACATTGAGAAATATTACGCGTTGAAATATTACAGTCCCGGTAAACTGTTACGTTGTTTTTTCTCAAATTATGTATTTTGACGCACACCACACACACCTTGTATATTATTGTTTTCATATTATTCAAACGCGCTCGAATCGTTATCTTCCAAACCGCGATAACGCTGCTCGATTCTCGGCCTTACGCGTGACCTTGAAAGGAACCAAAAATGCCACGATGGACCTCAGCAGTTTTCCCATGTTAATCTCCATAAGCCAGCTTTTAGAAGCGGTGCAGCCTATTTACTCCTCTCTTCATCAACATTTTCCATTAAGTCGTATTCGGGGACACAAGCAGATTAAAGATGGAAAAAATTATACATCTGATGTGGAACGGGTGTTTTTTTTGTATCATTCCGGCATTTTGATGGACTGAAAATTCAGAATTCAGTATATCATCTCGTCATTAACATTTTCCACTAAGTCGTATTCGGGGACACGAGCCAGTTTGAGAAGGAAAAAATTAAATATCTAATGTGGAAGGGGTGTTTTTTTGTATGATCCCGGTAATTTGAAGGACTGAAAATTCAATGTTCAGTATGTCATATCTTTATCAATATTTTCCACCAAGTCGTACTCGGGGGCACAAGCCAGTTTAAGAAGGAAAAAAAAGAGACATCTAATGTGTTTTTTTTTATGATCCTACTATTTTGAAGGACTGAAAATTCAGTATTCAGTATACTTATCATTTCTCTGATAACATTTTTAACTAGGACATAATTGATGACAATTCTCAGTTTGGAAGCGAAATATTCCACTCAAGTGATGGGAGTTCATTTTTCTATGACACCGATAGTTTTCTGAAAATTAACTATTCAATGAATCATTCTTCTGATGAATTTTTCATTTGGTCATAAATTCCACCAGTTGGAATCCAAGAGTGAGGTTGTTGTGTTTTATATCCATCACATTAACGTCAATATCACCTCGTCATTATAATACAGACTATAAAAGCTTCTGAGAGGAAATCATCATGTTGAAAATATTGGTTGCCAAATTAGTGATCTTCATGAATCAACATTCCACTCTTTGTGTGGTGTAAATCGGAATGGGGGCGAGAGTGGGGTGCGTGCGTTAGATTTGGGCGCTGGCGTCCAACGCTAACTTCACGCACGTCTTTCTGGCGTTCCCAAAACGCTTTCAGACGTTTCTAGGTGTAAACTCATATTTTCCAGTTTCAATCCCACTCAGGAATTTTTATGCTACTAAAAATTGAAATTCATTCATGGTTGCTCAGAACACCTTCAACTTCTGCAATGATCATGTCAAATATGCTCATGTAAATTTATTAGTTTCCCTGTCCTGCGTATGCGTCGTATCACACATCACATTCTCGATATTTCATTGGTCCATAAAATAAGTTCTGAAATATTAAATTGTCTGATTGAATTATTATCAATTTCCTGGTTACGAATGTATCATCAAAAGTCTTCATCCAGTGCATTCTGATAACGAACATGCTCCAATTCAAAAGTATGTATTTCCTAATAATTCTCAGAATTACAATGTAAGGTCCTCATGTCATCGAATAATGAGCTCTCTCTTTCTCACACACTCACTGTTCAACATGAAGAATGCGTCGATAACGAACTAAGATGCCAAACCATATATCGAACAATAAAAAATATTCTCGGTATAGAGCTAACCGATTTTCATTCATATTTATAACACTATTTTCATATTTTTCTTTTCTACATTTAAATGAAAAACACCACCGCTATGTGAAAAAACTCACGGAACCGACGTTCACAATATGATGATGATAAAACGATTATCTTTATTACATTATAAAAATGGAACTTCTAAAATATTGCAATCTTTATCAATAATTTGCAGTTTTCTCCCTTTTTTCTCGATTCTTATTTACTTACTGTAATATGTTTACTATCTGTTAAAAAAAAATTAATAGTTCTGAATATTACAAGAGTTTTTTCCCTAACACCAAACCGTTATTTTAACACCTCGACACTTGTTTCGATCACCAAGTGATCATCTTCAAGAGGAAGATCTAACTGAACAGTACATCACAAATATTAATAGTTCTGTTAGTACTGGTGGTAGAATAAAAACGGTTTGCAATTTTTTACGGAGAAATAAAAAAAAAGGATCCAAGAATGCCTATTGAAATCGTTCGTAACATTTTATTCATTAAATTAATATTCACGGTATCTTCGATAGTGCCAAGACATAGTAAATATAGAATAGGATTTCTACTGAGATTTTTATGTTTTACGACCGATTTCGGTTTATTGAACCATTCTCAAGTAAACTGACGCAGTTTGACAAACAAATCCTCAACTATACAATGATACGAGTATAGTCAAAGTAATGAAATAAGTACCTGAAATAACAAAAATGTTACCAGAATTATCAATACTCTTTCTGAGATACCAAAACAATAATTATTAGGAAAAATGTTATTCAGCCCAAAAACCAAAAAAGGATAGGGGCAAAAATCAGGCACACATAGACTGGAATATGGTGAATGTTCAGCAGCTTTTATAGGCCAGACAGGCCTAAATTTCAAGATAAGGTACCGTGAGCATGTGTTATCAGATAAAAAATCAGCTATATATGGACATCTACGAGAAACAAACCACACAATGAATAAAAAAAAAACATGAAAATTCTTCATAAGTGCAGTGAAGGATGGGAGATGAATTTGTTGGAAGAATTTGAAATGAATAAATTGAATAAAAACCCCAATTTCAAAACCCTCAATTACCAATTAGAACTATGCAGCTCTACCCTTTTGAATTTGTGAGTTTTGACAACTATAGTACAATTTCATAATACTAAGCACTAAATTCTCAGGAATATTATTGCATTAAAACGAAAACATTGTTGTCAAAGTTGTGATTCTATATATTTTATCATCATTTTTCCTAATCTGTTTAGTATAATTTCCATACGACACTGCGAGAGATAGATTGAAGGAAAAACGTCAGTCATTTCTGAGAATGCAGTGCCTACTATTGCGGAATTATAGTAAAGTTTGTTGGTATTTGGAGAAATCCACAAGTTTTTGGATCTAAAGTCAATAATTTTGATATGTTATGAGAGACTAATAAAATTATTGTTTTGGTATCTCAGATAAGTTATTTCAGTTACCTATTGCAGTTTACTTATAGGACATTGACTATATGGATATGTTTGAGGATTTGTTTGTTGAACTGCGTCAGCGTACTTGAGAATTATTAGAGAAGAATTAGACAAAAGGTATTTTCTCTGTCTTTCAAAGAACGTATCAGTTTTTATTGCAAAAGGTTTCAATTTTGATATAAAGTTCACAGAAACTTCACTTCTTCGTAGGTAGCACTTCTAACTGCCAATTTTTTTCAAAGGCATGGGTAGTCGAGTAATACATAATTTTATTGTCTCCTGCTTCTCTATTACCTCTTTTCTTTTAAAAAATTACATATTCACCGTATTATATTGAGTAATATGTCCGTTATTTTTTTCTATTGATATTGTTGGTTGTCAAGTGCCTTCAATAAAATAAACAAAAACGTATTTACAGTTTTCCAATAAAACGTTCAAATTTCTCGATAACAAATAAACCAATTTTGAAAAATATATTCCAAAAGTAGTAGTGGAACAAGATATCGTTCAAATGATGTGTGACACGACCCTCCCATGTTATTGGAAAAAATATGGGAGGTAGCTGCTGTCTGCAAGGAAGTGAAGTTTCGGTTATGAATTTGACATAAAATTGAACAACTTCAAGATAAAAATTCATATGTTATTTAAACTTTTTGATCACAATGCCGTTTCTGAGTTATAGGCAAAGTAAAGTTTTCATTGAAAGGCCCTGTATGTAGTACAGAATATATTTTGAAATTCATGAAAAACTACACATCCAGTTCCTTTTGTTTTCTTGCATTCAATGAACGTATTGACTCCAAATTTTTGAAAACTCCAATAAGCATGAGAATTTGTTTGGCACATCCAGACAGTACATTGTTGAAACTATGCTTTCAATGTATTTTATCATATCGAAGATCCATATAGTACTCACCAACATATTCAAGACGAACCAATTGAGGAAAACAATTCGCATTTCCCCAAGTTTAACCACTACATCCATATCAGATATATCAGACTTAACAGTCGAATTATTGAATACTATTTGTGTTGTGAGTGCTACTCCTTCAGTACCTGACAAAATCTAAAAATAGCAAGAGTTTATTTTCAAACAATAAAAAAATTAAATTTCCTCACCAATTTATGAAGTGTACTTGGATTTAAATCCATAATAGAGATTTCTTGCAGAATTGAATTGATTTGGGTGTAGGTATCTTTAACAACAACAGTAGTATCAATTCCTCTAATTGCCCAAGATGAAATGTAACTTGTATCAGTTCCAAATTTAATTTCAACTTCTTTGAGTATTACCATTAATTTGAATTTGATTGTGGCGACCACAACGGGTAATTTCCTTCTTGCTTCTAAAAAACAAGAAAGCTGCAAAAAATCTTGAACAGGGAAATTTATGTCTTCATACTTTTTTTTTGTCCAATCAGATGTTCACTGGTAGAAAAAAGCTGTTTATCAGATTTTGCAGACACAATCCTGTTTTTGTGGCTACTTTGAGTAAGTAGATTCACCTCATCTTGAATGTCCGTTGTAAATCGTATCACCGAAAGAAGCCCTTCTTGATGAAGTAGAATATACAAAATTTCAAAATTCAATGACAAACATGATTCGCATGACTTGTAAGTCGAATGTAGTTCTGGGCATTTTTCATTTACCTAAAGCAAGTGAAAAAGTAAATTATGTGGAGATAAATAAAAATAGTAGGTATTTATTAGGTTGCACTTAAATGAATAGTCATCTGAAACATTTTTGTTTCCAGTGAGTTGGTCAATGTTTCGCCGTTACAATTTGTCCGACATCTTCAGTAGTACAAAGACACCAACCACTTATTTAGGCGAGATGCTGAGATACTTACTCAAAACGAACAACAATCGTGAAAAAGTACAAATACAAAATATATTTGGTTCAAGTCACACTACCTGTAATTCTCTCTCTATATTCGGACATTCTCTACCCAACTGAAACATTTTCAACAATGCCACTTCCATAAGAAAGTAGTAGCAACTTTGATTTTTCAAATGAAGCAACCCTGTATATAATATCAGTTTTGGAATCTACAACAATTACTCAACAACTTTCTTGATATTTTCCTATACCTATCTGTTACCGTTTTCGAAATATGAAATACTTTCTAATTTTTTCTTTGGAAATCATGACCCCTATAAAGTCTGATATCTTTGAGTTAAGAGACATTATGATACCTACCTACTGAAATTTGGTTTGGAGTTAGGTGATACTTGGAGGCTTCCTACGTTTTAGCATAATATCCGTTACTTTAATACAGGGTGGTGAAAAAATACACTTTTTTGTTTGCTTGAAAAAGTGAATTAAAGTTTATTATTGCAAATGGAACACCCTGTATATTATTATAATTCATAAAGCTGCTGACATTTACTTTATGTATATCATGCGTATACTCAACTTGTCAAGTTTCGGACATATGAACATTTATTTGTGAAAATGTCCCTTCAGAATGGTATTTCCATTCGGTATTTGGTAAGCAGGCCATGATTACTATTTTACAGTAACGTTGTGACATTCTCCTAATAAAATTGATATTTTCGTCACTACGGAAGTTTCAAATACCTCCAAAACGATGGAACAAAACTATTGAAACGAAATTTATATGAAATTGTTCATTATTTTTGGACAGTGTGACAAAATTATCAGCAGAACATGTATCAGCAGAACATGTGTCAGCAGAACCGCTAACAAAACTCAAAAAATTTATGCGAGTTTAGGACAATTTCGATATGTTTGGGTAAATTTAAAAAAAAACAGAAAAAAACTTGAAAATGGAATTATTGATATGAATATCAAAAACTAAAATAATTATGTGGAATTTCAAAATATGTTCGTTCACTTCCAAGCACTTCAAAATGCAGTTGTAGACTGCTTTCATCGTGGCAGGACTGATTTCATTGGGATCCAAATATTCGAATGTTTGGGTAATCCTCTCTGACAATTCATCTTTCTAACGCACGAGTGTTTGTAAACTTTTTCTTTAAACATTCCCCACAGATAAAATTCTGATTAATTAAAATCGGGTAATCTCGCTGGCCAATTTGATGGTCCCAAGCGCCTTATCCACCGATCGTCAAAAAATATGTTCAGTTCTGCGCTCACTTTTCTTGTACAATGTGCAGAAGCTCCGTTTAGTAGATACCAAATTTTCGATATTCTTCGAGTGGCTCTCAACAGTATTCTTCAAAATATTTAGGTAGCTTCTGGATGTTATTGATTCCTCGTATATCGCCTACCTCAATTTGTTATCCATAACACGCAGAAGACATTTTAACTGAAGTTTTCTAGAAATCAGACATCTTTTAGGAGGTGACTGTGATAGAAATAGGAACTATCACAGTTTGAGGCGAGATTTTTATGGTGAATACAAGTTTTGAAAATGGAAAAGGATTGTTTTCCGAAACATTAACCACTCAAGAAAGCAAAGCTATGTAATTTTCAATTGATTTTTTTTCAATTTGATGGCAAAATTTATGAATTAGACAATTTACTGAAAAATTGGGCTTTCCAGTAGTTCATATTACTCAGTCACTTTTCGAGGTGAACTTTTCAGGTTTGCCCTTTCTACACCTCAGAAGATTCTCTATTCATTTAGCTTTTAGTTTTCAGATTGTGGAAGGTTATAAACCCAAAAAACAGTATAAAAACTACAATTTTATTAGTTATTAGTTATTATTATCATGCGTTGCAGATTAAAGTTTTTTTAAGGAAATTTTCTGTCTACGTGTACGCAGTTACAGGCGGCTGTGAGACCACAGGTACAATTTGCAGTGAGATTTTCCCACGTTGTAAAACTCCATAAGTTTAAGACAAACTTTTATATCTTATTTTATCCTCCTTTCGAACATTATAGGTTATGGCCTCCCGCAAAATTCAAACAATGAAGAAAACCTCCTGAAACAACTGAGAAATATGAAAAAATACGAATAAGAAAAATAATCTAGTGTTAACTCCATCCTGTAGATAGGTTTATATTCGAATCAGAATTTAAACAAGATCGTCTCTAACGTTTTTTTTCCGTCGACCTGCATCATAAATCAATTCTCCCACATCGAGACTATCCTTTTGACCTAATTTCTTTATAAGTTTATTACATTATGGCGCAGTCGGAAAACGAAATACTTCAGATCAATTATAATTAAAGCAGTGGAGATAAGCGAGACCTGGAAGCCAAACTAGTTATTGGAAGAGAAGAACTCGATCATATGTCAAAATGGCTGTCATTGGTGACAGACAATTCGAAAATTATTAAAATCAACCTATTTAACAGTAAAGATGATAACCCAAATACATGGATAAAACAATATGAATTCATGGCCGTGTCCAACAAATGGACTACAGACGATCAGAAAATAAATCATTTGAGATTCAAGTTACCCGGTACTTCTCTTCGTTGGTATGAACAAAAATTCAGTGAATCCCGATCATTTTCTTGGTAGGAATGGAAAAATTCTTTCATGGTGACGTTTGATGAAGATAACATAACCAAATGGGATAAAGCTCTGAATTATAAACTCCGTCAAGAAACAATTCTTGAATATTTTTATGAAAAACAAAGGTTGTTATACTCAGCAGACAATTTTCTCTCCGAAAATTCAGTTATTTCTCTATTGATATTAAGGCTTCTCTACTACATACGAAAACAAATATGCCATAAAGACTTAAATGAAATGAATAAATACCACTGGTGGTATTTAGACAAAAGTGTTTCTATTCATTTCATTTAAGTGATCATGAATTACCATAAAGTATATTACTGGAGTTTTTTCCCAACACCAAATCGTTATTTTTAACACCTCGACACGTGTTTCGATCACCAAGTGATCATCTTCAAAGAGGAAGATTAAAAGTTTTAATAGCGATTTGGTGTTGGGAAGAAACTCCAGTAATATTCATTACTACACCAAAGGTTCCAAACAGTGCATCATAAGTACCATAAAGTAAATAAGGCAAGGCAATCACACATATATGCCATAAAGACATAAAATCAAGAATAGAACTACTTCAACTCCTGAAACATCATACAACACATGAAAGAAACATGACAGATTTTCAAAATACGAGATATCCAGTAAATAAAAAGCAAGAAAATAGGAACGGTCGACATCCTGAACAATGCAATTACAATCAATGTGATGAGTTCCTTAACAATGACGAAATTAAAAATTTTCTTCTTCAAATTCAGAAAATCATGAAAACAGAAATGTTGTCCATTAATGGGCATCAATTGAAAATATTATATGACACTGGATCTGATATTGATCTCATCAGTGAAAGAGTTGTAAAAATATTGAACTTACCATCTTTCAATACTAATGTTAATATAAGGAGTTTAGCTGGCATAATGAAATGTTATGATTTGAAAATCAGAGGCGAAGACATTCAAATTAATTCTATCATTGTGAAAAATTTGTCATTTGACATATTATTAGGCAAAATTACATTGAGAAAACTAGGATTATTCAAGAGAACTTTTCGTTAAAACAAGGTAAAATTTTCCGAGGAGAATTTGAAGAAATTATTTCCTCAAATAATGAATCCATCATTTTGTTCTTGTAACTATAAAACAGATTTTACTTTGAGAGACAACTCGAAAATTATAAAATTGAAACCATATAGATTTTCTTCGAAGAAACAAATTTGGATCAAGGATAAAATCAAAGACATGCTAAATCATGGTATCATAAAAAAAATCCACTTCACCTTGCGTTATCAAAACAAAGAAGGATGGAAATTATAGATTGTGTATCGATTTTTGCCAAATCAATATTGAAACTGAATTAGATCCTTTTCCATTTCCAATGTTAAAGGATTTAATTGAAAAAATTGGTGGTTGTAAATATTTCACTAAAATAGATTTGAAAGATGCATTTTGGAATGTGAGCATTACAGAAAATAGCAGAAAGTTTACAGTATTTGTAACGGAAGAGGGGCATCATGAATTTCTTAGGTTACTATTCGGATGGAAGAATTCAAGTGCAAAATTTCAGAGACTCATTCAGGATGTTCTTGGTGATTTATTGGACGGAAATGTAGTAGCATATATCGATGATATTATTTGTGGAGGGGACACTTTGGAAGAATCTGAAAATATTACTTTAAAAATTTTGAGAAAATTTGATGGAAATAACTTCAAAACAAACTTCAAGAAAAGTTCTTTTTGTGTACAAGTGAGTTTTCTAGGTAGAGAAATCGATGGAAATACGAAAAAGATGAAGAATGAAATCACTGAGAAGGTAAAAAATATGAAAAGACCTTATGACATCAAGTCATTACAATGTTTTATTGGCCTTAACAATCATTTTAGAAGCTTTATGTCAAATTATAGCAAAATTACACGTCCTCTGGAAGAACTAAAATGTAAAAGCAAAAAATTTATCTGGACTCAAGATCGTGAAAATTCATTTGAGAAATTGAAAGAGATCATAACATCAGAACCGATTTTGAGAATCCCAGATCCTCGTTTGAAATATGAATTATCGACAGATGCTTCATATTATGGCTGTGGGGCAATTCTCTATCAAAGAGATCCAAAAGAAATAAAGAATAGACAACTAAGATTCATTCATTATCATTGTTGATGATTAATAATATTTATTGATTTCTTTAGGACATCCTAATATACATACAT